TACCCATTCAAACATTATTCGAATAAATGGCAGCTAATTGACCAGAAACCACATTGTAAACATTAACCACAACGAGACTGATGTTGGGTGACACAGCAGTTGTTTGCTACCCGCACACAATTAAATCGGTCTTCCAATACAGTTGCCCGGATTTATGTGGAACATGAGTGGTAAAACGATGTCGTTTAAACTGCTATAAAGTCACACATGCATTACACTTTGACAAAGAGGAGGAAAACAATGGAGTTTTCTGCTTTTATGTCCCTCAAACCAATGGTTAACAAGGTATAAACAGCGTCCACGTATGGCTACAACTACTACTAGTACCAAGAGCGCTCGCTCGCACCCACACAGTCGTGCACACGCACACATAACTGGCATTTGACAGATGTTCCACCTTCACACCACACATTGACAACGGAGGAGGTAGCCACTGAGCCTATGCTAGTGAGTACAATGATGACGTCAGAAGCACCTGCACCACATTGGATACATGACTGTCCTGAGTCCAGATTGAAGTGGTGGTTTCCCCTTGCTCTCACTGGAGCTATCTATGCAGTTAACATTCTCTACATACTTGGAAAGCATCTCCACAAACAGCTCCGTCCAGAACCGACTCCACGTTGCACCGCCTATCCCAACATCTTCCGGGGCATTGATCACAACTCATTCGACGACGATGATCAAGAGTTTGATTTCATGGAGGAGGAGCCTTATGTGAAGTCGAAAGTTTTTTGGGTGGAGGAGAGTCAGTGGGGTTCAGACGACTTAAGAACGCCTCACACATCGACAACAACAGCAGTAGCATTTGCAAGCCTCCCAGAACATGGAATGAACGAAGACGATGATGAAGATGATGAAACCTATCCTGGAAGACGTGTTAAACAACCAGAAAATCAAATAAATGGCGAAAATACGAAAGACAATGGTATCGCCCTCCAAATGAATAACATTAATAGCGTAAACGCAAAAGCCGTTGAAGACGCACCGCAAAGAAAGGATGGACGACATCGCATAAGACAAAATCAATGCCTAGGAGAACAAAATGGCCATTTTTTCCTAAAACTGCGAATATTTTGTGAACAAATGACCTCAGTTTCCTACCCAACAGGTCGGTTTATGGTAAGTCAACATCTTAAGGGTTGTATTAGGTGGTTTGTATTTTGATTCAACCGAAATCCTTCACTAAATAAACAACCCGTCGCCTTGTTTTGCCTAACATTTCGGTTAACGCATGATCCTTGGGTATGTTTAAATGTGCCCTGAAGTATGATCCAACTCTGATCTGATGTCAATCGCACACACACACGCACACACACTCTCTTGATTTGACCAAAAATGTGACCTGATTTTTCTGCCCAAATTAATTAAAAGAGTTGTTGGCATCAGATAAGTTATTCACTGTCGCAAGTCTCGAAGGTGTTCTTTTAATCTACTCTCCTAAAAATGAATATTAATGTTTGAAAGCTTCGACTCAATTCATTGAGCTGGTCATCTGGCGCCAAACATGAGGCGGCATTCTTAGAAGTGGATCACAGGAATTGATGGGACAATCCAGAGACAAAAAATAGAAAAATGATGTTCCTTGAGTTAAAATGAAATCAAAGCGTCCCTCCGCCGTCGCGCTTCACCAAACAACATTTCCTTTCCAGCAAAACGCCAAACCTGATTCACTCACCACTGCAAAGACAACAATTTTTTTGCAAATTCGACAAAGCATTCAACACTCGAGAACACTGGGAAGGCTCTCTTCCTTTTAGGCACCTAATAATTGCAAGTGACCCGGAAACCATTACCGTAGAAGTCAACTTTTGGTTTGATTTATGCAGAGCAGCCTCAAGTCTGTCCTTACTGTGTAATTAAGAGCAAACTAAATCTCCAAATCACTCTTTTCTGCAAACCTTGACGAGTGTTTTTCTTAGTAAACTGGTGTACAATTGCATGTCTTAAAGAAGAGACTATGTCCAGCTCGGTTCGAAGTGACAATTTCCATTTGACGATGGCTGTCACCTCGAGCGACGGGAGGAGGACCGACAGAGAGTTGCTGCGATCAGTCATTGGTGTGCATTTGTCCCCGAAAGACAGCAGCAACAACAAAAAATGTAAAAATGATTTTTAGTGCGGAGTTTGCCTAGTTCACAAAATGAGTTTCCATATTTCCCACCACCCTTCCACATGACATTTTGCCTAGAAATGTAATATAACAAAGTTTGATTGCAATCACAGCAAACGCTATTTAGTTTTTTTCCCCTTTTAGCTGGTAGTTTACGTACTTTTGTGTACGATGAGCTGGATTATCTACATTATTGGAACAATCTTGTGAGTCCTCCTCCCCTCTCTAAAAAACCATTGTCTAGTTCTTTTAAACGAGATAACTTTAGGGAGATAAAGTCGCCTAAATGTTTGAGAAAATTAGGCAGGAAATTCTTAGTACTTTTTTTCCTGTTATTTACTTTTAAGGCATTGCTTGGATTTGTGCAATTTGATGTGAAGTTTTTTTATTCATTCCATTGCAATTAAAGACATTTTGTCTCTATTTTAGCCTCTACATCATAGAAACGCAGCCAGATGTCGCAAAGTAAGTTCGTCTTCCTTTTTTTTTCTCTGGCTCAAATAAGTGCACAAAGCTTAAAGCAATTCACTTTGATAGGGCTCTTGAGGGTCGTCCGCCGCTGATAATCCAAGGTCTCTGTCTGAC